GTTCACCCAGCACACACCACCCATGGACAAATCAAAAAGCAAGCCAGAAAGGTTGAAGACATCTTGCACGTATTGCAGAGAGGCCCCAAAGTGCTACTGTGTCCTTCGCTGTCAACTTCCGAAGACAAAGCGTTTCAACAAGACAGCAAAAGAGATCCCAAAGCATATTCAGACCTTCCTTCTCCAGAGCTGCAGGCCATCAGAACAGTTTTAGGAGGGTCAATCTCTATTTTATAAAGACATAGATGACATCCTCTTTACTCTAGAGCCCTCATCATAAGAAGGACATGGAGCTGTTGGAGCAGGTCCAGAGAAGGCCACGAAGATGATCCAAGGGCTGGAACACCTCTCCTAGGAAGACAGGCTGAGAGAGTTGGGGTTCTTTAGCCTGGAGAAGAGAAGGCTCCGGGGTGATCTTCTAGCAGCTTTCCAGTACCTAAAGGGGGCCCACAGGAAAGCTGGAGAGGGACTTTTTACAAGGGTGTGTAGTGATAGGACAAGGGGTGATGGCTTTAAACTGAAAGAGGGGAGATTTAGATGAGATCTAAGAAAGAACTTCTTCACTCTGAGGGTGGTGAGGCACTGGAGCAGGTTACCCAGAGAAGCTGCAGCTGCCCCATCCCTGGAAGTGTTCAAGGCCAGGTTGGATGAGGCTTTGAGCAACCTGATCTAGTGGAAGGTGTCCCTGCCCATGGCAGGCGGGTTGGAAATAGATGATCTCTAAGGTTCCTTTCAACCCAAACCATTCTATGATTCTGCTTTCCTTTTTGTCTAAACATTGCTGGTTAGAGAATCAGCTGATGGACTGTAAAACTGACAGACTCGTTACTGGCACTTATAAATTGCTTTTGCTCAGCTGGAGTTAACATAGGACCATCTGACTACCCAGAATTGACATTTTTAATGATTCTGTTTCTCCAGCACTTTCTCCCTGGCCACTACAAAAATTCAAACTGTCTCTTGCTCTGCCAAGCTGTTTGTGGATCAAGTTACTTGTTCTCTAGGGATTTGCAGTGTGTCAGCCATCAGACCAAGCAAACTCAATAATAACTGACCTGAGAATAGCTACTCCGATACTTCTGGGCTCTTCTATACTATAGATTTTAGTGTTAAATGTCAAAATTCTGAGGGCCAGAGGACAGATGCGTCCCCAGGGGAAGGACCTATGTGCAAAGTATTTTAAAAATGGAAAATGCCAACTGTAAAAGTTTAGTGCTTAGATGGCGTACCCTCATCTTGTACTCTGTTGGGTACCGTTATCTTTCTTCAGGTCTTCCTTTCCTAGGTCGTATCCCAGGTCGAGCAGAACAACTTCCCCTTCTAAACCATATTTTACTCGCACAAGACGGGAAATTCTTCACATCTCAGCACTATTTGGCGAAGAAAGGGAAGTGCAGAGCCCTTCCCCGGGACGCGCAAGGACGCCCGCAGCGGGCTGAGGCAGGCGGGAGCACCGTGCCCATGACCCAGCTGCATTCAGAACTGCAGCTCCTCCCTCCAGGGGGTGCCTCTGGGGACGCCCAGCAGTTACAAAGCCGTCTTAAAATTAAAGTCAAGTTAATTTTAGCTTTAGAAGAAAAGCACTTAAAGGAAATGGATTTCAAAGAGGCAGCTTTAGATGAAAAGCACTTAGAGAAAAAGGATTTCAAAGAGAAATAGCCCATGCACACGTCCAGCAGATCTAAAGCTTTACGAGCCCTTCCACAGTGAGTCTGGTCTCTCCAGGGGCTCCAGCAGAACAACGTGGGCAGCTCTTCTGGCCTTCTGCCAGGTTTGGGGGATTTCTTCTGTTATTAATAATCCACCTCCTGCTGACACAAGCCATACATTTTTTCCAGCCTTCCTGTTCTCCCTAATACACCCCATAAAGAAACAGGTAACCGGGACCAGGTATGGACACAGCAGCAGCCCAGCGTGTGCCCATGTACCCAGGGATGGGGAACCAGGGCAGAAACTCCCACCTGGCACAAACTGGGAAGAGGGGCAGGGCTACACGACTGCAGCAGTACCTCAGGTAAAAGGAGCCCAGCACTGTCACAGAGATAAGACAGCATCTCCCATTCCCCATGTGCTCCCAGCAAACAAGCCCTTTGAACACCTGGGTTCAGCTCCTTGCTTGGCCTCGGATTTTTGGTGTTAGCTCATGCAAGTCCTTGGTTTTGTCTGTGCCTCTAAAACATGAATAATTTCCCTTCCTCTTAGGAGCTCTGTGGACATCAGCACATTGTAGATGGGGAAGGAAGCAACATCGAAGAACCATTAAGGCTGTCTAGACAGAAAAAGAATAAATGGGCTTTGTACATAAGTGTTTACGTGGTGGAATAAGAGAGCATCAGCACATTGTAGATGGAGAAGGAAGAAACATCGAAGAACCATTAAGGCTGTCTAGACGGAAAAAGAATAAATGGGCTTAGTACATAAGTGTTTACGTGGTGGAATAAGAGAGGTGAGTCAGGCAGAGAGACTGATCCCATCGCGTCCCATCTTTTCTCACCTACACCACCACTGCACAGAAGTCCCCATCTGACTCCTAAAGATGAACTCGGCTCAGCCACAGCCTCATCCTCTCCCTCACTGGGCCCATATGTTCAGAAGCAGCTCTCTAGAAGAGATACTGCAAAGTGCATCCTCCAGCATGGCTCTGCCTGGGGCAAAGACCCCTCCTGACAGATGCTATTACAGAAGCAGTGCTAAAGCTACGTACTGCTTCATAGCCCAGGCTTGCTTATCTTCTGTGCACAACTACTACAGCCTCTCCAGTCAGACACATTTACTGCACACCAGGGACAGCTGCAGCCTCTGGTGACTGATTTCTCAACTGTCTCATCTACCAACAAATCTGCTAGGCATATATTACC